GATTTCCACCTGCATTTTGGGTTCTTGGGGTAGTATCTCTGTTTAATCGGCTGCCCGTCACTCATAGTGATCGTGTGCACCGCCACATTAGTCACTCCCTTGAGCTTGGCGAACTTTTCTAACTCTCGGGCCAGGAACGCCTCTGTCGATTCTTCTCCCGTGTCTGCGTCCTGTTGTGCTCGCGCCCGGATTTCGACCGCCGTTTCTGCCGGAAACGCCTCCGCTTCCACCCCGGATTCTGGAGCCACCGCTACGGCCACCGACAGCCTCTCCTCTATGCTACCTCCTTTCCGATCATTGACAGGGATCACCACCCTGTGCCCCGCACAGGTCACCTTTGCTCCGACCGCGCTAAGGAAACTCCACCCCAGAACCAAATCATCGATCACGCCCGGCAAGACGAGCAACGCCATTTGAACCTCCTGGTTCCTGAACGCCACCTTTGCCTCGAGCTGAGTAGTCACTTCTTGGCTACGGCCATCCGCCAAACGCACCCGTTTGTTCGTCGCGGACTCTCTTCCTGCTCCCCTTAGCCTGCCCGCCAACTCGCAGCTAATGAAACTACTGGTGGCTCCCGTATCCACCGTTGCCCGCAATTCCACTCCCGCGATTACTCTCTCGCCGACTAAACTTTTGGGGCTTCTTCCTGCGACCCTGGCATGGCCCTCCTCGACTTGGATCGCGGGGCGTTTCCCGTCTTCCGGCAGCATTCCCATGACGAGACACCGACCTTTCCGCACCTCCAACAGTATGTGGGCGGACGGGCAGTGCATTCCCTGGACCAATGTTCCCCACTCCCACATCGCCTAGAGGCCTGCGCGGGATTCCGTACGTATCCGTTCTCAATGTGGTTCTGCGGGGGACTCCCGATGCTCGACTGGGCCATCTCCTTTCCCTTTTCCGTCCCTGACCCATCTTTGCAGCGGCGGCACAATTCCGTCTCGTCTGACTTGTTGAACGGATTGGCGGCTCGTGCCTTCGTCGTCGGGTTCACTCTTTGAAAGTCCGCTCTATCCCTTTTAACGCCTCGAATTCGTCGGCTAGCATCATGGCGTCCAGGACTCTGCACCTATGGGGACGCATATATGCCCTCAGGTCCGGGGTACTATTCCCTCTTATCAGCTCTGTCTGCTCTGACTAAGGACATTTTCGCGGCATCTCGACCATATATTCTTTAAACGGCTCGCCCCACTTCTGTTTCCGAACTCAAGAGGCTTCGTCGTTCCGTCGAAGTGGAATGACCACTCTCTTACTTTCTTGGCCACCCTGGCGTAGTCTAACCGGGCCGGACGGGTAGCCGCTGGTTAGACTGGCTTTCTGTTGGTCTCTGGGTTCCTGTCCCTGCTCGAGCGCCGTTGCCTGCTAGGAGCTAGAGTGGCCAGTCTTTCCGGCACCGCGAGACTCGCGATAAGCTCCTGCTGGAAGTCAGCTGATTTTTGCCATGATTTGGCTGCGGCTGTGCTTGACGAAAGTGTCAGGTGCTCATGCCCGACCTGCTTGTCGTCAGCATGGGGTGTTGGCGATTCTCTCTCACCCGCTTGCCCTTCCCACGCCTCTAGCAGGTCTGCCCACTCGGGTTCCGCCTCGTTCACATTCACCCATTCCTTAAAGGCCTTTCGCATCTCATCTAGCGTGCTTTGAAGTCGCACGCCGCACGCCTGTCCACACCGGATCAGCTCCTCCTTCCTCAAAGTGTGTATCCACTGCCCTTTTCCCATAGTGCTGTTATTCTTTCTCTCTTGTTTTTAAAACCTTCCCCTTCCACTGGTCGCTACTTTGGTCGTGGGCCCCACGTTGGGCGCCAGTTGTAACGAACCCTTTTTGTCCGTCGGAGCTAGGCTGGGCTTGCTGTGGACGGAGTTCGGTGCAACGAATTCATATTGTTGCTCGACGACCAAGTAACCACGCAGGGAGTTTGTGGCTTGTGCAACCATTTTTATTTTGTCTTACAATAGGGCTTAGGGGTATGGATATATAATGGATATTCAATACTTAACGACCCATCGCTCTCGTGAACTATTTCGGGCGTAGCACGTTGGTACTTCTGACTCACGGGTACGATCTCAGCGTATGCCTCGATCCGCCTCCCTGAATCCGCACGCAACCACTCGCTGTTCCCTCTCGTATCACCGAGCCAATGCTGATCTCTTAATTGTACACTCACTCTGCGCTCAGGCTCTGCCTTGTGTTCCCGCTTGTCTCACTCGCCTTTACGTATTCACTCGGACACTTAACCGTACGCCTTCGTTGCCCGCATGGGAAGAGACCCTGTCACCGCCGTCAGCCCCCTTATATAGGCCTCGACTAACGGTACCCCCACGCGGCCAGTGTTTTTCCATCGGTCATTCCCTTTGATTCCACGAGCTTCGCAACGGGACTTGGTTAGTGGCGTGATCATATGTTGGCATGCGTCGAGCCGCTGCCCACCCGATCCCATTGTCCCGCTCTCCTTGGCTGACCCGTGCCTCCTATCTGCCACTCTCTGCGAGATATCCCCGGATAACGGCCCGGGAACCCAGATCCTCACAAGCTCTTATAGTCTCTTAGACCTAGGCGTCAAAAAATACAGACTGACGGACATACGGACGGACAGACAGACAGAAAGACACACAGGCAGGCTCCGGTTTTCACTTTCACAAACAAATTTCGATTTACTTTTGAAAACGGAAAGTTAGGCGCTCCTGCATTCGCAAAACGCATTATTTTTTCGTTTTCAAAATGGAAACTAATTCCTTGCCGAAATGAAAAGTAAACGAATCTTAATTGTATAAGGAAAAAACAGATGACGTATTGATGCATATACATGAAATTTTCACCATTGCCAGGGCAATTTAGCTTTGCCTTGTTAATAAATAATTTTTATTTAAAAAATTGGTTTAAGGTCGACGATATTCTCATACCATATGCACACTGAGTGGGAATATTTTTAAGATGTGAAACACCGATGCACACTGCACCATCCAACATCCATGAAAAACTGCTGATGCACACAATTAGGTGTGGCGGAAAATTTGTTTACTTTTATATTCGAAATGAAAATTAATAACATTGCAGTGGTTGTGAATGTGATTCAGCACCAAAATATATTCATGCACAATCTAATCATGTTGCTGGACATGAATGATGATAATGAGGCCAACATTGAAGAGAATTTATTGGAATGGATTTCTGTTTTGAAACACTGAAGCCTGGTCAGCCTGCTTCTACTAAATCCAATCATTGTTTTATAGCCTTTTCACACTGGGGACCATCCACCATCCATTTCTGTAAGGTTTTGCCGTTCCGAAAATTTCCCAGCTATTCCACCATCCATCTGGGATGTTCCTAATTCTCACGTTTCAGTGCGGTATTTTTTCGATAATTGTCAAATGCAACCATATTTCACAACAAAAAATCGGAGATCACTACGGAAATGTAAACAATGACAGACAGGAAAATATAAAAATAAAACAAAATAACCCCGTCCGATCTCACAAAGCACGCAAAAAATAAAAAAATATCAAATATCAGCTGCAGGTGATTTTATTTCGATGTGACATCCATCTAACATAAAAATTAAGTGATAAAATTAATTTACATATATGTATATACATATATTATGGATGATTTTATTGCATTATTACCAATTGCACCAGGCACTGAGGAAACCCAATTTCTTCAAATGCTTGGACACACTCGTCAATTTTCTCTGAAGTGAGATAGCTTTTGGACATGTATTCCTCTGAGAATTCGTTGATGAATGCTCTGCAAAACTCATGCAGGATATTGCAGACGCTGTTGGCTGACACTCCGAAAAACACTCTTCTCAGAAGAAGATCCCAAAGTATATAAAGATATGGCGATACGCTTCTCCAGAGGAATTGCAGCTCGGCAGTTTGTGTCCTTCTTCCGTAGCACTTCCAAGCGAGTAACCAACAGAGAAAAGCAAGATCTCTCCATCCTAAAACTTTCCTTAAAAAACGCCTCGTTGATTTCGGGTACATCCTTCTCCCAAAATGTACCGAACCGCTTCTGAAAAACATAACATATATATTTGTGCTTTAAACATTGGTTGCATCTATTAGAAGCACTCAGAAATGACCACAACCTTCCGGGCTTCAGTGTTTTCAAAACAGATATCCATTCTATTATCTCCTCCTCGTCAAAGTTATCCTCATCATCATCGTCCATGTCCAACAACATGATTAGCTTGTGCAAGAATATGTTTTGCTGCTGTATCACATTCACGACCATTGAAATGTTATTTATATTCATTTTAATTAAAGTAAACAAATTTTCACCGCACGCAATTGTGAGCAACAGCTGTTTCTCATGGATGGTGGATGGTGTCAATGTGAATCGGTGTTTCACATCTTTCAAAAATTCCCACCGTTCCCCCAGGATGGACTCAGTGTGCAGAGAGTATGAAATACAAATATATATATTCTATGTTTGTTGAGAAGCGGCTTGGGACGTTTTGGGGAGAAGACGTAGCCGAAAACAACGAAGCGTTTTTAAAGCAAAATCTTGTATAGCCGTATACTTTGGTCTCTTTTTCTGAGTACAGAATAGTTGGAAAGTTTTCAGCCAATAGCTTTTGCAATATACTGCATGAGTTTTGGAGAGCATTCATAAATGAGAGGATCCCAGAGGATAGTCAACAAACCGAGTTGTGCACCTGAGACAATTCTGACATATCAGATGTTTTTTAGCATTTTCCTGTCTGTCATTGCTTACATTTTTCTAGTGAATTCCGACTATTTGTTATGAATGTCAAATATTTATGGTTGCATTTGACAATTATCGAAAAAATACCGCACAGAAACGTGCGAATTAGGAACATCCCAGATGGATGGTGGAATAACTGGGATATTTTCGGAACGGCAAAACCTTACGGACCATCCCAGGAATGGATGGTGGATGGTCGTCAGTGTGAAAAGGCTATAAACAGAACCAAGTAGCTGTCTGAGCAGTGTAACCGTACGGAATGGTTACCACTGGCCGCTAGAAGAATATATGACATTTGTTTACAAGCAAACAGTTTTTGGATCTGAGTACTAGGCTTAATATATAGCACTTTCGGTCGACGGAAAATTTAGTGCGTCTGAGTACTTGGCTTTAATAACATATCGAAGTTCGTGTTTTTTTCAATCACCATCGATAGTATCGAAAATGTCAAAGAAGTTTTGCATCGCTACAACTCCTTGCTTAATGAATTCGATTTTCTTTTCTTTATTTACATCTCATTTCAAAAATAATCAACAGGCAGTGTTAAAATATTTAGGTCATACGATCATTGTATTATTGTATTTTTAATTTTTTTAATTGTTCATAAACAATGTTAACATTTAATGTCAAACAGCGCGTGTAGTTAAAAAAAAGTGCCGGGTTGTAAAGCGTTTTCAACACTCACATAAATACAAACAAAACATTAGCATATTTTTGCTCTTTTTTGTTATTGAAACGAAAGCGGCCACGAAGCTGTGACGTTATGGTACTTGATGGATTATTTTCATTAGTTTTAGTTGTATATAATATGTGTGCAACATTCTTTCTGTTATGTTAACAAATTCAAACCAAGAAATTACAATGTTTGCATCAGTGTCATGTCTAGATGTATGTATATTACATAAATATAATGAATTTAGAATCAAATAAATTAAATATTCTACGTAGATATCGAGAATGTTTTTAAAGAGTTTATATTCAAGGCTATGATGAATTATTTTAGCTTACAAAATCATATGAATATACAGTAAGCACACATACATATTTGCACACCTTCATCACTCTAGTTTGAACACCTATGTATAACTTGGCATACGGTTAAGTTAAACAGGAAAAGTTAATTTAATATTAACATTTCTACCATCTTTTCATAAAAAATATTTTTTTTCTACTATAAGAATCCTTAAAAAAAACGTAACTAAAGCACATAAATTATTCCTATAGTAGCTAAAAACTCAGCTCCAGTTACCCGACTTAATTTCCATGAAGCACGTTTGGAGAAATTTGGAAAAATTTGGATATGGAAACCCAAAATTTCATCGAAAGAATCCTTGAAAATGACTCTGCTTGTTTAGTGGGTCAATATTAATGCATAGGGCACTTATAACTTTGGGGAAAAGTTTTGCTGTAATATTCAAATATTACTTGAAGAACCTAACGACTGTACGAATAAATGTGCGTAAAAATGTGACATCTTTGCTTTAGATACTTTTTATAAGGATACCATGGCAGAAAACTAAAATTTTTTTTTTAAAAAGATAGTAGAAATGTCGATCTTTCTACTTTTCTACTTTTATACCCGTACTCAGTCAGTATATACAGTAGCGGACAAAGAAATCCGGACAGGCAGAAAAATACACATTTTGTTGATTTTTGAAAACAATGTTTATTTCTGGAAGAACATTTTTTTTAAACTAAATAAATGAATACATTAGCTAATCAAAACAACACTTATTTCGATTCCGTGTAGAAAACTAAAATTAAAATTAACGATAATATTTCAAAAACTGAGGAACACCAACGAAATTTTTTTTTCATATTTTAAAATAAGTTATACATTTTTTGAAAATAGTATTTTATTAATGCAATTTTCTACTATTTTTAAAAGTATACTTCAATATTTTGTTGGACCTCCTTTGTTTTTTATGACTGACTTTATCCGTGTCGGCATAAAATCCACTAAATGTTGGATTATTTCAACGGTTATACCGTTGTACCACACATTTTCCACAATTGAGTCAAGCTCTTTTAAAGTTTTGGGTTCCTTTTCTTTATGCTAACCTTTAAAATATGCCGAAAAAGAAAAAAAAATAGAAATTTAAAAGGTCTGGTATCTTGCAAATAACAGATAAGGGAATAAAAAAAAATTTGATTTACCGATTTCGCACGATGGCAAGGAGCAGAATCGTCCTGGAAAATTTTGTATTGCCATACGAAAGATGCTCCTCAATGGATGGTATAAGATGATGATCCAATATGTGTTGGTACTTTTCGGCGTTTACTGTTCCATCAATTAGTGCCAGATCTCCTACTCCAAAGTAAGAAAAGCATCCCCAGACCATACGGGATCCACCATGGCTAACCGTCCGTCGTAGGCATTCATTTTTGAATTTTCTCCGACTTTTCGTCGCACGTACGACATACCATCTTAACCAAAAAGATTTATTTTGGAGTCATCTGAAAATATTACGTTTCTCTAATCGTTAAGGGTCCAAGACTCGTGCACTTTAGCCCATTGTAGCCGTTTCTGACGCATTTTAACGGTCAAAAGGTTTTTTCGCTGGTCTGCGCCCATGAAGTCCGCTCTCCTGAATGCGTCTTCGTACTGTTCGCGTGCTTATATCGAATCCTTCCGACTGAACAAACTCGCATCTTATGTCCTCTGCAGTTTTGAATCGATTAGCCAGGCTTAAGCGCGTTATACGATCATCCTGGTCGCTGGTCTTCTTCTTTCTTCCTGTGCCTTGGTTACGTTTCAGAGTTCCGGTTTTCTCAAAATTCCTTATAAAATCCCCCATAGCAGATTTACTAAAACCAATTTAGGCACTTATTTCACTTAAGTTTTCGGAGACTTAAGTTTTCCGATCGCAAAGCCAATATAGCACCTTTATCACTTTCAGTCATTTTCGGCATGTTTCACCGTTTTATTTTTTATTTCACATAAAAAGCTTAGGGAAACAAAACCTCGGCGGCGAAGTAAAACTAAATACTTAATAGATAATATGAAAAAAGATCCAAACCGTTTTAAGCTATTTTACATATTCCACGCAGCTTCAAAGTTGGCATATTGAGGCCATAAGTAGGTGTCCGGATTTCTTTGTCCTCTACTGTATGTTGACTACATCAGTCATCTACATTTACAGTGTATATTCTATATCTCTTCCGCTAGAGGGCTCACGCACACTGCACAGGGCAGAGTGTGTGCGAGCGAGAAAGAGAATGAGTAGCGTTGTAGCGCTGGAAGGGGCTGGGGTAGCAACCGAAATATTTTTATTTTATAAGTTTAAAGAATATACAATATATATATATATATATGTATATACTATATACAGTTGTGTTCAATGAAATAGTACCTGCCTACTTTCAAAACTCTTTTTGAGATATTTCTAGTCCTTCAAATTGAACAAGTGATACCTTTACGGAAAGCCTGGAATGTAAGCATTATAAACTTGACGAAACCCCGTTACATTCGCATTCCATCTTGTTGTTTTTCATGACTTTAGACTACTACCCATGACATCTGCTGTTCAATGAAATAGTAGTGCTGGGATAAATTTATTTTTTAAAATGAAAAAACAATGCAAATTAATTTAAATAAGTCACCACCCGCAAGCTCAATTTAGATATCCAATAATTTGATGAAAGAAAGTTTTGGACATAGCGGTACTTTTGATTTTGGAGCGTTGGAGAAATCATTGCTCGGTCCAGAAGAGGATACCTAAGAGTTAGGCTAAAAACTTAAGGCAGGAGGTATAATGGGATTGAAAACTTAATTGTATGCACTCTCACTATTGTGTTTAATTAATTAACTATAAGAAGTAGACTGAAAATCGATTTTGTATTCGAAAAACATATTTTTTAGAGGATGGGGTCGGCGATGGTCGAAGGCCTTCAATATCCTCAAAAATTATGAAAAAAATTTTAAATCGCTCTGTCAGTGATGTGACAGTTCGTAGACGGTTGATTATACATTATTTGAATGCAATAAGTCCCAGAAAGCTCCGCGTTTGGATCTGAGAGTACATGGTTGCAGAACTTCTGTTTGGAAAAACGCATGGCCTGTGTCACAGTGACAAAAACACTTTTGACTGATGATAGTAAAGTTGTATTATATGGTAAGATAGACCCAAAAGATTATGTTTGGCATTCACAGAAATCCAATTGCCACCCAAAATCATGAAAAACATAGCATCGAGTATGCCGGCTGAGCCCTATGGGGCCCAGCTCATTTGTACTAATGCCATATAGTCTGGCGTTGGAGTATTGATCAAAACTATGTATGTAGGCATACGTAGGAATACATTACATTCATATTACAGTTGGAAAACGCCTTTTAAAAGGATGTTTAAACAGTTCAATGACCTGAAACACTCACAAAAGCTCGCTAGGAATTGGGTTTCTCCGGAAAATATTGACGTTTTGTCATGTCCAACTGTCTATCTGGATCTTAATCTCATCGAAATCTTATGGGAAAATACCATATACATTGTTGCAATTGCAAATCCGTCAACCAGAGCAAAGTTTTAGCAAGTTGTTTAATGATTATTGGCTCAAATCCTATTGAAAAGTTGGCAAGAGACTAATGACACATGTCCGGCCCGTGACAGTTCGCAATGAGAACCAAATTGATTAAAAACTAAATATTAAAGCTCAAGAAACCTGAGGAACATGAAATATATGTCTTTATTTGAGTTTCGTTGTTCTAAAATTCTAAAAAAACACTACTATTTACACTACTATATACCATTGAACAGCAAATTTCATGGGTATTCGGCTTATGTCATGTAAAACAAGAAGATAGAATTTAAATGTATGGATATTTCTTCGGTTTTCCAATGCTAACAGTCCAGTCTATTTAAAAAGGTATTATTTGTTCAAGTTGGATAACTGGAAGTGTCTCAAAAAGAGTTTTGAAAGTGATGAGGTGCGGCACTACTATTTCATTGAACACAGCTGTATATATACAGTTGCGAAAAAAATAATAGCACCACTACAATACATTTTGTTCTTGATAAAAAAAAATGCGATTACTCTTGCGATTTTTTTTAATAATAATTTATTTTATATTGCTTGGTATTCCCCATATACAAAAACAGTGCTACCGCTTTTAAAATTTCTGTCTATATATATTTTTTTGGATTTAAAAAAAAATCCCCCAAAAATAGCGAAAACGAGAAGGAACGTGTGAGTCGCTTCTGGGGACGCGACTCTACTTATACCCGTACTCAGTCAGTATATACATTTTTGAGCTTATAATTTTTTAGAATTTAAAAATTAAAAAAAAAATTTACATATTAAATCTACAATGTATATTCCACATCTAACAAGTAGATTGTACATGTACCATTTATATTCTACATCTCCTCCGCTAGGGGTTGCTCGCGCACTGAACGCGGCAGAGTGTGCGAGCGAGAAAGAGAATCAGTAGCGTCAGCAGCGCTGGAGAAGGAGAGGGAACCAACAGAAAATTAATTTCTTCATTCTGGCTATAATTATGATCCGATCTAGTTCAGATTCGGCAATCTGGTAGATATGGGCATTCTCTACGATACTGCGTTTTTAGTTTAATCGTATCTTTAAAAATGTGCCTGCCACAGATTTTCGTCCTTTGTGGGGGCGGAAGGGGGCGGGGCGAAATTTTGAAATACACTTGTAGTAGTGTGATATCATATGAGTCTGGAAACCAAATTTGGTTTCTCTAGCTCTTATAGTCTCTCAGATCTAGGCGCTCATCAAGACGGACAGACGGACAGACGGACGGACGGACGAAAAAATATTGATTACAATGGGACGTGGAAAGCACTGCACTGCGGAGAAGCGCGATCTACTCAAAAAATTGAGATTGGATGGAAAAACTTACAGAGAAGTTGGTCGATTGGTAAGGATGC